TTAAAGTTAAATAAATTTGTTTGCACATGAAAATTACAGGTTATTCCTATTATTTCAAAGGGCAGATTCTTTTCAACCTGCATGAAGAATGCATAAAGGACGCAATGGCCTTTTACATGACAAAACTTCATTGGATGCCTTGGGATGGAGAAGGAGGCTGTAACTTCAGTGGGTTTCTGCAAGTACCATCACAAGGTCAGTGTGGGAGAGAGTATTTGAAGGAAGTGGAAGCTCTCATACCCAGAAAAAACAATCTCAGCCTGCAGAGAGAGCTATTTGCTCTGACAGTTCCAGGCATAAGCAAGAGAGGGCAAAAGGCAGAATGAAAGAAACCTCAAAATAGGGAAATAAACAGAAAATTCTGAAGGTTGAAACTGTGGAGCCCCCAATACCAGCATCATAGTAAAAAAAAACAAAAAACAAAAAACAAAAAACAAACCAAGGCTGTGGTTCCTAATGACTCTCCCAGCGTGTTTTTCTAAGTATTCTTGGCAAAGGGGGTGCCTACACACTCATGAAAACTAGTGAAAGGGGAGTCCTCCAGACCCAAAAGGCCACAAACGGTTTGCTGCCATTTATAGGAAATGCAGTGAGGAGGTAAACTCACATAGAAATAAAAAGCAGATCCGTGGTTGCCAGAGACTGGCGGCAGGGAGAATGGGGGAGTGCTTAAGGGATACAGGGCTTGTTTTGGGGTGATGAAAATATTCTGGGACTAGACAGAGGTGGTGATTACACAACACTGTAATTGTACCAAATACCACTAAAGATGGTATACTTTAAAATGGTTAATTTAATAGTATGTAAATTTTACCTCGATTTAAAAATACAGGAAAGAAAGGAGTTCTGAGGGAAAAGAGGGATGTGTGTCTAAGTTGGGGGGGGATGATTAGAGACCCAGGGTCGTGGGGACTCCATCGTCCTTGTGGGGCTCCACCCAGCTCAAGGTTCAGCTGAGTTCCAGTGTGTGTGACGGTGACAAAGACAAAGATGAGCTGGCTGAGGGAGGGGAAGGGATAGAAAAGGCATGGGGACAAAGACTGGCCAGGAGCGTTTTGGAAAAGGAGCCAGTGCAGAGCTGCTGAGAAAGTGCAAGTTAGGGTTCACGGCACGCTGATCCATTCAGACATAAAGGGCCGAGAAATGCTGGACTAGAAAGAGGGAGAGAGGGGTGGAAGAAGACAGCGGGGAGGACAGGAGAGTATTCCTGAGAAAGGGCCCCCATGCGGCCAAAACATTCTCTCACACAAAGGAAGCCTGGACTAATTTAGGGGGGAATGTACTATCTCTGTGTGTCCTATAAGTCAAGTCGAAGGCACTAGGGAATGAACACAACGAATGAGCGAGGGAGAGAGAGAGAAGGAAGAAATTAATTTAGACAGATATTAGAGTCGAAATTTACTTCTTGCTATTTCCTAAGAAATTTGGCTTTCAGGCTTTACAGAGGTTTCTGGTCCCCTTAGGGCAGAATCATAGTCCCGTTTGTGTCTTTTGTTTAGGCTTAGGACCACAGTCTCTCGGTAACAGCCAATTAATTAGCATATTCATGAGTAGGGATCCATTTATAGCCTGCCTTACCATGGGTTTGCAAAAGTAAATGGCAGGAGACCACGACCCAAGCACAAATGTTCACTAAACACCTCCCTGTGCTAGGCCTGGGCTACAGACCAATGGGGTGCAGACTTGGCCCTCTAGGGGTCCTGGGAAGCACAGGAGAGTTACTCTTCTCTACTGCTGGGCATCTGGATGGCTTCCTCTCTATAGGGGTGGATAGAGAAAGCCTGCACTTAGGAAAAACAGGCCAGTTCTACTTCTTGCCAGACCTGTGACGTAACCATTTCGGGCCTATTTACCTACCTGTAATATGGGGATGACATCTACTCAAAGGATTGTCGTGAGAAATAAACAAGATAGTATATGCAAAGTACCTAAGCAGGATGCTGCTATAGTAGGTGCTTGATATAGAGTGGCTGTTTTTTTTTTAAATTTTTTATTGTTATGTTAATCACCATACATTACATCATTAGTTCTTGATGTAGTGTTCCATGATTCATTGTTTGTGCATAACACCCAGTGCTCCATGCAGAACGTGCCCACTTTAATACCCATCACCAGGCTAACCCATCCCCCCACCCCCCCTCTAGAACCCTCAGTTTGTTTTTCAGAGTCCATCATCTCTCATGGTTCGTCTCCCCCTCCGACTTACTCCCCTTCATTCTTCCCCTCCTGCTATTTTCTTCTTCTTTTTTCTTAACATACGTTGTATTATTTGTTTCAGAAGTACAGATCTGTGATTCAACAGTCTTGCACAATTCACAGCGCTCACCATAGCACATACCCTCCCCAATGTCTATCACCCAGCCGCCCCCTCCCTCCCCCCCCCCACCACTCCAGCAACCCTCAGTTTGTTTCCTGAGATTAAGAATTTCTCATATCAGTGAGGTCATATGATACATGTTTTTCTCTGATTGACTTATTTCATAGAGTGGCTGTTTTTAATTAAATGTGAACATGTGGGGTGTAAGGGAGGGCATTTTGGCCAGAGGGAGTGGCAGGGGGATAGATGTCACAGAAAGCATAGCTCCTTGGAGGAGGAACTGGAGGGTAGGGCTGGGTGGAGTACAGGTAATCTAACAGGTTATGTAATAGAGGAGGCTGGATAGAGGGGCACCTCACTCTATGCTAAGGAACAGGGCTTGGGCTTGTGGGCGGCTGGGCAGCATGGGGCATCTTCTACCCAATCCCCCGTGCCACTGTCATCATCAGCGATTCTTGGACCCTTTCAGCCATCAGATCCTTTAAAAATTTACAAACATCACCTCTTGGATGCTGGCCCTCTTTGATGAAGGTGAGTCATCTCACTTACACTGTCTGGACAAAGGAAAGTAAACTGGTTAATTGAACTTAAGAATTTCTCAACAGCCATTTGCTGTTGCTGAGTGGACCAGGACACTGGTTCTAGACTTTTGGGGATAAATGGAAGTTTATAATCTCGGCCGGGGAGATGAGATACCCACATAGCGACAGTGCAGCAAATGCCAAAATGAGTGGGGACAACAAAGTCCCGAGAGCTTCAGGAAAGCTCAAACTGGTGGGCAGGGCAGCTTGGAGGGTCTTCCCACGCCTGGGGTCTTACAGTTCCCCCCAGCACATACAGCTAGCTGGTTATGACAGATACTCTTTAGAACTGCCTGTGAATGGTGATAAGAAAAAGCAGACCTATTTTTAGTTGATTTTATTAGTGATTTAAATCTCTGAAGACAAGGCCCCACTTACTTCCTGCATGCAGGGCGCCCTCCTCCATCTGGAATTTTGGTATATTGTCTCTGAGCCTTAGTTTCAGGATGCCAATGAGGGATAAACACCTGCCTTAACAGTGTCTCTGAGAGGGTGAAATCAGATCATCTGAGGGGCAAATGCCTCCCAGCCCCAGGGTTTGACCCAGAGGAGGACACTTAGCATGGGCTCTTTTTCCTCTCTCATCCTCCTTTCTTCTTTCCCTCCCAAAGTGGTTCCAGAATCCAGTGTAGATAAATTAGCTAATGTCTGTTTAGTTACTGTCTACACTAGCTTGTCCATCTCAGCATGCGCCTTCTCCATTCACAAGGACGAAAGCAGAGCACAAACAGCAGCCTTAACTTCACTCCCTAACCTGCACCAAGAATCTTCCTGGGGGGCCACTGTGAGGAAGGGTGACTACAGGGGATCGGGCTTGTATAAACTTATTCCCGACCTCACCATGCAAATCTCGTTTAAACAACACTTTGTATTCTCAAGAGCTTGGCCCAAAATAAAAGTACAAAGTCACATAACACCATACAGTTTTCAGGAGTTCTCCATGTTTCCTCAAACACCCCAGGAGACAATGCGAATGTTACCCACAGCAGCCCTGGGAGCTGGGGCAAAACTGGGCCCCTATCTGGAGCTTGGAGTTTTCTCAAAACACCCCCGACAAACTCACCCAGAGCAAAGATGGGCAGCAAACACTATCTTCGTCACCTCTTATTCTTGATGCATCTACACTAGGTCCAGTGTGAAAACAATGTAAAGGACACAATCTGTCCCCGATAAGAAAACCAGCTAGAATCTGTTTCTACGTGGAGAAAAGAAAAAGGGCTAAAAGCTTATTAAGCACTATCGCTATAAAGAAATTGAAACTTTTTTCCCCCCTCGGTTTCTAACTAGTGTCTTTACCAGTTAAAAACAACTTCTCTGTCCTGCTTTTATGGGGGGAAAGTTTGGAAAATACATTTATTTGGCCAAGTAGCCAGATACTTACAAATACACTACGGGTGGGAATTGTATTCTAGGTGCGGCAACCTCCTCCTTGCAGCAGGCCCGAAAGAGAAATACTGAAATCCCAGAGTGTCTAAGGGAGCCGGGTTCCGGGGAAGGACTCTCTTTCCTTAACTCAGCTTGGAAGTCTGGGTTCTGGGTAACAAAACCTCCCAGCCGCCACCACCACCGCCTCCCTCACCGTGGCCACCACTGTAAAATATGCAAACCCCCCAATTTTCCAACAACAAAAAAACTTCAACGGGAGCTCTTCTCCACTTTATATTGAAAGGGCCAGAACGCTGACTGGTGGAGCAACGTGAGACCCGTTCTTTGTGGGGTGGTCCTGGGAGAATCAGGTCACACTGCAACAAATGCAACGCGGGGCCAGGCGCCTCAGGCTTCCCCGGGAAAATGTGACCTCTTCCTCCTCCTCCCTATCCAACACCACTTCTCAGGAAGGCTGCACCCTTCGAAACCAAGTCCAAAGGAGCAGAGGTCATAATCCCCTCTTGGATTTGACTGGGGGAGACTCTGGATCTCAGCTTGGGTTCTGGAGGAACCTGAGGCAGAGGGTGCGGCCAGGAGCACCCCCCCCGCCCCCGGGCGAGGAGAAGGCGCAGCCTGTACTCATTTGGTCCCTTCTCCCTCCCGCCCCAATCCCGCGGGGGCCTCGGCTGCGGGGCCGACAGCGGGCCGGAAGGGAACACCGGGGCAGCTCTCACCGGGCTTGCGGCCTCGGGCGCGGGCCGACAGCAGGGGGCTGCACAGACTGAGTCCCGCGGCGACCAGCAGCAGCCGCCGGGGCCCCATTGTCCGGAGGCTCGGCGCGGCTCGGGTAGACGGCCCCGCCTCCGAGCGGCTCGCGCTCCGTGCTCTCTCCCTCCGGCCGCCGGCTCCAGCCGCAGGCCGCGGCGCACGTGCGGGCCGGCAGAGCGCTCGCTGCCCGCGCACAGAAGGAGGATGCTCGCGTCGCCGCGCGGGCCGGCGTGTCTGGTGGCGTGTCCGGTGGCTCTCTGAGAGCTCAGGCGGGGGCGGGGGCGGAACCCCGGCGCGCGGGAGCTGAGCGCCGCGAGCGGGGAAGGGCGCCCCCCGGCGCCGAGTGTGCGCCTTGAGGCGCTGGCCGCCCGCCGCGCGCTCCCCTCCCCCTCCCGGGAAGCCCCTCGGCCGCCGCTCCGCGGTCCCGGGCTTCGGCGACCCCGCCACCCGTGAAGCGCCGCGAGCCCCGCCCCTCCCCCCGCCGGGTCCTGGCAGCCAGCCACCGCCCGGCGAGGGGAATCCAAACGAGCTTTTCGTCTGGGCGCCTCTGACCCGCGAAGCTCTCAGTGACTCAGACTGGCGGGGACCTCGAACAGGGCCGCGCGGCCTGGGCGGCTGCTCCCTTCTCTTCTCATTACTCTCCCTGGGAGCAAAGGTGTTCGCGGTGAACCTCCGAGCAGGCACGCACCCCGGCCCCCACGGCCCCGGGCTAGACCTTACCGCCCGCGTGCCCAAGCGCCTCACCTCAGGCCGAGCGCGGCTCTGCCCCTTCGGAAAGGGGGTATTTAGCTGACAGTTTCAAAAGTGACTCGTGCTTTTTTTTTTAACCTAGGGAGAGCGGATTAGAAAGTTTATCCTCTAGGGATAAGGTGGCCCCTAACGAGAAGGAGCCCTTCTGTGTGGAAAGATTTCGTGACATTTTTTAACCCGTTTCTCTTTATTTGGTGAAGTTAGCACTTCCCGTTTCGCGGGTGGGCTGCCGGGGAAGTAACCGGCCGCGGCCAAGCGCCCGGGCACCTGCGCAGCCTTTCCCGGGGGCCCCGCGGCTGCGCGTTCCCTGAGCGCGGGCGCTGCCCCGTGTCCCCGAACGCGTCCGTCACGCTCTCTGGGACGGCAGTACGGGAGTTTGGTTCAGTGTGGCCAAATTCGAGGCGCAGGGCGGCGGACACTCGGGGACGTCGCGGCAGGGGCTGGGCAGGGAGGGGAGCTCGCAGTCCCTTTGGCTCAGGGAACTTACCTGCTGAGGCTTTCAGACCGCAACAGGAAATGGGTCCCCTCCCTCGGCCTTTCCCAGGAAAGCTCACCCGCAGCCCCGTCTCCTCTCATTTGTGCGGGCCTGTTCTGCACCCTGTGGCTGATAAACTGTACTTGAGAGCCACTGGTCAGGTTTAAGCTTTTTAAAAGGGGAATTTCGCTTTGAGAGTGTCATTCCCCAGGGAGAGCCCTGACACTTAACCTAGGAGAAAATACAGCAGAGACTGTCTCTATATTCCCCCCATCGTCCTCAGAGCACAGGGCCTTGTGTGTAGAAGCTGCTCAATAAATTACTGAATAACTGCTATATAACGTTACTTAAATTTTTTCCCTATTCAATTCTCCAAGAGATGTGAACCACTAACATCATGTATTACATCACTCTCTAACCTACACTATTTTTCATCAATCCTACGATGCCACCGATTTTAAGACTCAATTTATGTACTACAAGCACACACACAGAAATGCTGCCAATTAAACTGCAGCATACCGTTGATTCTAAGAAACATCTCAATTTCAGGATTGTTTAAACATGAATACAGAACATCTGAGACTCAGTGAAATAGTGTAAAATGTAAAATTAATCAATACATGTGGCAAAAAATTCTAACAGTTCAAGGATATTCATTGAAAAGTAAAAGTATCTTCAGCCTCCGCTTCTCAGAACCACTTATTCATGGTGACTATGGTTAAAAGTTTCTGTCCATCATTCAAGAATTTGTATCCACATACAACTATATATATGTATGTATCTCCTTAAAATATGAATGGGATAATACTATGAGGATACTTTTTAAAAAATTTTTATTGTTATGTTAATCACCATACATTACATCATTAGTTTTGGATGTAGTGGTCCATGATTCATTTTTTGTGCATAACACCCAGTGCTCCACGCAGAATGTGCCCTCTTTAATACCCATCACCAGGCTAACCCATCCCCCCACCCGAACCCTCAGTTTGTTTTTCAGAGTCCATCATCTCTCATGGTTCGTCTCCCCCTCCGACTTACTCCCCTTCATTCTTCCCCTCCTGCCATCTTCTTTTTCTTTTTTCTTAACATATGTTGCATTATTTGTTTCAGAAGTACAGATCTGTGATTCAACAGTCTTGCACAATTCACAGCGCTCACCATAGCACATACCTTCCCCACTGTCTATCACGCAGCCACCCCGTCCCTCCCACCCCCCCACCACTCCAGCGACACTCAGTTTGTTTCCTGAGATTAAGAATTCCTCATATCAGTGAGGTCATATGATACATGTCTTTCTCTGATTGACTTATTTCACTCAGCATAACACCCTCCAGTTCCATCCACGTCGTTGCAAATGGCAAGATCTTACTATGAGGATACTTTTAAGTTTTAACTATTTCAGCGGTGGAAAATGTTAACCATTTTACAAAACTGAAGTTTAAAGAACACTTTTTTGCTTAGTTATTAGAACAATGCACAGAGAGCAGCTGAAATGCATGCTTCATTCTTTGTGCATATTAGCCAGGTTAAAGCATCCTTAAGAGTGGGACTGAGATACAGTGAACAAGGGTGGAGAGTGGAACAGAATGAGGCATTTCTTCCTCACTTTAGTGTTTTATGTAAGTTGGGGATTGCTCATTGAGCAGCCACCAAAAACCTACCTTCAGAAACAGTGGTTTTAACTTTTGTCACACACAGTGCGGATTCCTGAACCTCATCCCAGAACTATGAAATCAGATTCTGTATTTTTGACAAGCAACCCCAGGTGACGGTGATGTTTGAGGGTTCCCAAAGTTTAGAGAAATGTTATTCTAAGACAGTGGTTCTCAAACTTTAGCATGGATCAGTTATCTGGAAGACTTGTTAAACTGTAGTGCCAGACCTCATCTTCAGAGTTTGATTCTGGAGGTCTGGGGTGTGGTCTGAAAATTGGCATGTTTTAACAAGTTCCCCAGTGATGCAGATGCTGAAGATGATGGAGCAGGGGTGGGTAGGATGGCTACACTTCGAAAACTGTGTTGAGAGGTCAAAAGAATTGAACATATAGTTTGTGTGACCTTCTTTAAATTACACATTTCAAGCATAGAAAAGTACAGAACTGAATATCACACCCCTGAGCCTACAACCTGGCATTAACATATATATGTAAATATATATTTATCTTATATTGATTAAGCTTTTTTGGTACCCTTTTCTGATTTCATTTTTTCCTGCCCAGAAGAGTAACTTTCTTATTCATGTTTTTGTGCTTTTATATTTGTTTCCAAAAAATTAGTATTGTTTTGTATGATCTAAATATTTACACAGAGTAACATACTCAGAATACTTCTGTAGTTTTCATTTTTCTAGATTTACCTGATTGGTATACATATATCTAATTGTTTTTAAACTTTTTATGGTATACCTTTGTATGTATATATGGCATTTTGTTCTTCTAACACTATTTTATCTGAAGTTTTGTCCAATTTATTTCACCTAACATAGTGTATTTTTACTTTTTCTCTTCTCTTTTTAAAATATTTTTATTTTTATTTTTAAAGATTTTATTTGAGGGAGAGAGAGAGAGGGAGGGAGCAAGGGAGGGAGAGAGAGGGAGAGAGAGAAAGCACGAGGTGGGGAAGGGGCAAAGGGAAAGGGAGAAGCAGGCTCCCTTCTGAGCAGGGAGCCCGACCCAGGGCTCTATCCCAGGACCCCAGGATCAGGACTTGAGCCAAAGGCAGATGCCCAACTGACTGAGCCACCCAAGTGCCCCAGAGATTTTTATTTTTTTAAAAGTAATCTCTATACCCAATGTGGTGCTTGAACTCACAACCCTGAGATCAAGAGGGGCATGCTTGTCTGACTGAGCCAGCCAGGCACCACTGCTTTTCTTTTCTTGATTAATCAAGTCAGAGGTTGGAAATGGCCATTTTCCAATGCCCATCTTTTTGTTTTGTTGCTTTTATCATTTATTTCAATAATAATTGTTTCAATAATAATTATTCAATAATTGTCACATAGGCTTTTTATCATTTTCTTTTTTTCTACTTTCTTTGGATTTACTCTTATTCTCCTAACTTTTTTTTAAAAAGATTTTATTTATATATATGACAGGGAGAGAGAGATAGCGAGAGAGGGAACACAAACAGGGGGAGTGGGAGAGGGAGAAGCAGGCTTCCCACTGAGCAGGGAGCCCGATGTGGGGCTCGATCCCAGGACCCTGGGATCATGACCTGAGCTGAAGGCAGAAGCTTAACGACTGAGCCACCCAGGCGCCCCTTATTCTCCTAACTTTTGAACCAATTGCTTAGTTTAATTTTCACTCTTTTTCCCTCAAATGAACACTTCAGCTGCATTCTGTAAGTTTTGATTTGTACATATATGCAATTCAGCCAAAAATATTTTTGTCAACTTCACTAACTCTACTTACACATACATTATTGGAAGTTTTGACTGGCTTTGTGATTAATTTCTAACTTTATATTATGGTCTGTTGGTAATGTTCTGTTTTCTGTTTTTTTTCTGCATACTCTACAAAATTCCTGTAATATTTGTGTGCTCCTTAGAGCTTTTGAAAGAGATCTCTAGTTCATTTGTTCTATATCACCCATACCAAAATCCCTTTGTTGACGGTTTTAGAGCAAATGTGTATAGGTTCCCCAGAGTAGAAAATCTACCTAACCAGACCTTCCTGGAGGTTACCTAACATGTCGATATTCCTCAGAAGTGAAATCTCAACATGGCAGCATCATTCATATTGAAATCATCTGATACTGACTCCCCGTTTTCATTCTCTCTGTTTGAAACTTACCTGGCACCAAAGAATATGAGTCATCAGCTATCCTTTTATAGTGTTTGTGGTATTTAATACTGTTTTAAAACAAATGTGACATCAAAATGGTGAAAAT